GCAGAACGCAACAAGCATCAATACGACTATCGTCGGGATTACCATCCCAAGGTTCTCCATATATCCCAGCAGACATCACCACCCGCATGACTCCATCGCATCGATCAGAACCACAAGAGCGTTGATCAGGTGCAGTACACCCGCAGATCCATCACAAGACGCAATACTGTAAGTAGCAGTAAACATCAATGCAATTATCATACGAATGGCGCCCCTTCACAACGCACCTACATTATCCCTATCGACTTTGGTAACTAAAAATAATAGCAAAGTATCATAGTAGTGCGCTACTAAGACGCCAGTGAAAAAAACTCCACTCCAGCGCTAATGCACCAAGACATGAAGTTCAGTGCTGTTACACTTAAAAGTGCTACCAAACACACTCATCCCAATTCGAAAGATAGACGACGTATTGCTAGGTACTACGACGCCACCCACAAACGGTATAGGTGTTCTATGACCACGGGAAAGCCATATTGCTACAACAAACTCACTTACCATCGGCCCTAAGATGATATGTCTATGATACATCGGTTAGCGAGTCCAAGTTTACCTCGGTCTCAGTTGCTTGTGAAGCAGCATACATGCCATTATAATAATCATTTTCAAGCCAATTTGAGACTATCCACATATTTGCTTTATTTCATAGACCTTACTATTATATGTCTTTAATATATGGGACTTCAACCCACAACTCTAGTATTGTAATGCTTATACTTCATAGAGACCTTCTATAATAATGGTTTTGTATCATAGGCCTTACTATCATTAGTCTTTAATATATAAAACTTCAACCCGCAACTCTAGTATTCTAAAGCTAATTCATCATAAAAAAACCTTATCATCATCTATCATTACTGCCCTTCACAAGTCCACTGCTGAACATAGGCCTCTCACAAGTAATGCCACAAAGCACGGTCCTGAGCCACCTGCATCCATCGACTTCCTGCATGTCTTACCAGGTCGTCACTCAATCTAGTGGGGGTTCGCCCTACACTATGCCTACTGGTACGAGGCTGCCACTCGAGAACCTTTCTTCCTCATCGGTTATCGGTTCTTCGAGCTATATGGCTGGCCCATTGCCACTTCAGCTTACTAATCCGTTGGGCTGTGTCGGTCACTCTGGTTTTACTGCGGATATCCTCATTTCTGGGTCTATCACGCAGAGAAACTCCGAGCATAGCCCTTTACACAGCTCGCTGAGCGACCTTGAGCGTCCTCATACGGCCAGCAGTGAAGGACCACGTTTCAGATCCGTAAGTCATCACTGGCAACACGCACTGGTTATACACTTTAGTTTTCAGAGATTGAGGTATACCTGACGAGAAGATGTGTCGTAATTTCCCGAACGCTGCCCAGCCGAGTTGAATCCGTCAAATGACCTCTCGGTCGAAGTTGGACTTACCTAGTCAGACTATTTGTCCCAGGTAAACTTACTCGTCAACAACTTCGAGCATAGTGCTCCCAACAACTACCGGCATAGGTGTGACATGGACATTAAACATGATCTTTGTTTTGTCCATGTTCATCTTAAGACCTATCCGTTGGGAGACACCATTGAGGTCATTGAGTATAGTGCTAAGGTCCTCCAGCGATTCTGCCATAAGGACTATATCGTCGACAAATCGAAGGTGAGTGATGTACTCGCCATTGATGTTAATACCGTATCCTTTCCAGTCCAGTAGCTTGAAAACGTCTTCCAACGCAGCGGTGAAGAGTTTTGAGGATATAACATACAGCATATAACATATACTATCATAAGTCCTTAATATAAGGGACTTCAACCCAGAACGCTAGTACTGTAAGGCTAATTCATCGTATCATCGTATATGTTAAAATTTGTACTCCGGAAGAAAAGGTACAAAATATCAGCAGGAGAGGACAACTGTTCTCGGCAAGAAAGAGATAGGTCGGCTTCTCCGTCTTGAGATGATACTTAGAGGACGGCGTTAAGGTTCATGTGAAGTCCGCTAATATTGCAGTAACTCATAGATAGCGTGGCAGGGATCGCCTTTGAGTTGTTCCTGTGCTTGCCCAGAACAGTGTCAGCGTTGATGAAATTTGAATTATTTTTAAATTTAAAAAAAATCATCATCAAGTGAAATTTCACATGATCAATTTACTACAGTTCTACCAATGTATGTATAAAAATACGACAAATTCCCAAGCTCAATTATTGAACTCCGCAATTAGGACGTTACGTCAAATGAAACTTAAACTTAGTGAAATTACTAAACAATGATAAAATAAACAGTGTTAATTTAACTCAATAAAACAAAATCATCCAGTTTATAGCAACAGTTAATACCTACAGAACATCTGAAATATTAATTAAAAAGTAAAAGTCGGCTTCAACAACGGACTTAACTCTTCTTACCGCGATCTTACGATACTTACGCGATACTTTAGATACGGTTATATAGATATTGTTTAATTCTTTTTAGTTCCTTGAAGTTTGTTTTATTTTTTTTAAGTTTAATTTCTTAATCTAAATTAATAAAATGTCGTCGAAGTTAAAAATTCATTCTCTATTTTTCCACTCTTATTGGTGGAATTTAGTCTTCAAAATTAAACTTATAGTATTCAAAATCCATCAATCCAATCCCCAAAGTTATGCATCAGCATTCAGCATTCTACTCCGCAGCGAAACGTAATAGAGACAAAGGCCCTAAGGAGGTCTGGTCCCGAGGAACATGCATTTATTCCTCGAATTCCACTCATATGATATCAATCATACGCAATAATTTTCCTTTCTGCTTTATGCCTGTGCGATATCCTGTTACCGTCTGCTTTACAATGAGCAATGACTTTAATGAAAGCACAGGGACAGACAATACACACAGCGGGCGTTGTTTAAAAAGAAAATACAGTCTGTATTTAAATCAAGTTTCTAAGTCCAAGAATTTTTAAAACATATCAAAGAGTGCGTTGCTGGAAGTAGATAATAGGGTAGAACACTAACCAAGATGGATTCATAAGCAGAAAAGATCATTTATAAAGTTTTAAAATATTGTATCATATTCATGCAGCATAATATCCAAACCTAACACGCAAAAGATACTTTATAACATTCTTTAATATTTTTATATACGGTATTCTATAATGATTTCTATATTTACGCGAACACTACACATTGATTAAAACTACTTTTACGGATTTTATCGCGTTTATTTTACTTTTAATTACTTTTATTTTTAATTCCCGACGTTTCGGGTGCTTTCCAGCACCCATGGTCACGGGGGACTGAGATGACTGACGTCCCGATGTCATTGTTAAACCCGGAGTACCCTCAGCTTTTTTAATTATTGATTATGGTCCGATCTATGCAAAATGAACTGACTATGTGCTGAGGTCTTGCAGTGGTATGCTTGGGTTTAGTTTTAATTTTATTGATTATAGGATCCCAAGGAGGTGGTAGTACCCAGCCTCCTTCTCTATTGAAATTAGGATGTTTTTTAATTTCAGTAGCCTCACGTATCATCCTTGGTAGGAATCGTGTTCTTTCGCGAGGATTTGTAGTCTATCAAATCTGATGTAATTGTTGGGGCCGTCTAGGATGTGATTGCAAACTGCAGACATCCCGGAACGTTGATGCTTCACATCAGCTATATGTTCTTTTACGCGGGTTCTAATGGATCTTTTTTTTTGTCCTATATAAGTGAGACCACATTCACAATCAAGCTTGTACACTCCTGCATCTTGTAGAGGAATATGACACTTGACGGATGGTAGGAACTGACTAATCTTCTTCGGCGGCTTGTAGAATGTTCTAATAGAAGCTCGCTTCAAGATGTAGCCAATCTTGTCTGTGACACCTCTGACATATGGTAGTACAGCAGGCACGCGCTCGACTGTGGCCGGCTTCACTCGGTCACTGTGATGTAGGCGCGGGACCCGAAGCTTGACTTGACTGAAGAACTTGCTTGACGTGCTGAAGCTCGGCGGCCAGGTGTTTGCTGTCACAGATCCCTCGTGCTCTCTGTAACAAAGATTTGCCCACGGTAGCTAACTGTGAAGGATGGTGGTGAGATTCACCGTTTAAATATCGGTTTGTATGGGTCTTTCTCCTATACACAGTGTGACCAATGGTGTTGTTAGGATTTCGGATGACTAACACATCTAGGAAAGGTAAGGAATTATTTGCCTCTAACTCCATAGTAAATTGAATTTCAGGGTTTATGGAATTAAGATGTTCTAAAAATGCAGTTACTTTGTCTGATGGTAAAATTGTGAAAGTATCGTCTACGTACCGCTTGTAGATCCTTGGTGTAACAGGTGCAGTAAGGAGGGCTTTCTCCTCAAAGTCTTCCGTGAATATATCGGCGACAATGGGAGATACAGGTGAGCCCATCGCAACACCATCTACTTGCTTGTAAAACTCTTCCTTCCACGATAGATAGCGTGATGTAAGGCAATGTCTGATTAATACTGCATATTCTGCTGGTATATTATTTTCCTCTAGTTTCCTAGTTATAATTGAGATGCATTCTTCAACAGGTAGGCACGTAAATAGAGACTGAACATTAAAACTGAGCATGGTTTCATTGTCAGTCAGACGTAGGCCTTTTATCTCACTGACAAAATGGTATGAATCCTTAATGTGTGCTCTTGTGTGTCCTCTGAGTGGTGATAATATTTTAGCTAAGTATTGAGCCAATCTGTAAGTTGGCGAATCAATCTGGCTCACTATTGGACGTAATGGAGCGTTCGGTTTGTGTATTTTTGGTAACCCATACAACTTCGGTGGAGCACTCCGATGAAGTATTGACAACCAATTGAGCTTAGTATTAAAGAGAGAGACATGGTCATATTTGCATAATCCAAATATAAACCTTGTAAAGAAATTCTGGATTAGCTCAATCAGAAAAATTGGACCCACGATTCCAGTTACGTAACTATTTCTCTGATTGTATACTTGTAAATTTTGCATTGTTTCAGGCATTTTGTTTGAATAATGGCGCGTAATTTAAATGATAATGATATAAGCGTATTATCATAAGACGAAATTGATTCGGAACCAGAATGTTTGAGCGATTTTCAACCAGGTGATGATGAAAATATAAGCGACAACGAAGTTCCACAACCTGAAATTTCATCTAACGCAAGGGATTCATTACCTGACAGCGATATATTAAGCGAAGAGGAACATGAAGATGCTCAACCATCAAGTGGTACATATCATCGAGATAAAATAGATTTAAGTGGTCCAAAATCCAAAATCCTCCAAGTAGCTCCAGAGTCAGAAGTCACAACATCATATCACACCTGCCTGGTATTGTAGTTCCTGCCCGTGAAAAACATAATATGTCACCAATTGAGTCATGGCAGCTACTGAGATCAAAATCATATGCACACATAAATAAAACAAAAAAAAAGCCTTTTATTCCTTGCATTCCATAGTACAATTTCAAAGACAGTGTGCATGCAAAATAGATTAGAAATAAATTAAAATTAGTGTGGTTATGTGTGGTAGTGTAAATAATTAGATTGTAATAATAATATATTCAAATCTATTTCATTTTTATAGTTTCATTTAAAAAAAATATACAAGTAAAATTAGTTAGTTGTTGATCTAATTTGAAGTTAATGTTGTAATTGACATAATATAGTAACAATATTTAATTTTATGTTTTTTTAACAAGAACCCCCTCCACGAGAGGTAAAGGCCTCCTCCAGAGAAGCCCAGTGTTCTCTATTCTCTGCTATGTTTATGATATCGTCTGCCCAGCGTGTATTTGGTCTTCCTCTCTTTCTCTGACCTAGTAAGCCTGTCCATTGTGTTGTCTCTCTTGTCTCTATTATCGCTTAGCCTCGCTACGTGTCCAGCCCATCGTCATTTAAGCTTTTGTGAGTAGTTGAGAGCGTCAATGGTTTGAGTTTTCTGTCTTATATGAGTGTGGCGGATCTTGTGGATTTCCTTATTTTCAAAATGCTCCTCTCCATACTCTTTTGGCTGGATATAATTTTATTTTTTACTTTCAAAATCTTTCTAGAACTCCCCCAATAGCGCCATATAGTATCGAATAGAAGAATTGAGCTTTCTAGAAAAGTCCACACTCGAACTTTCTGCACTTAGTCGTTCGGGACCGGTTTTTGCTTTTTGAGGAAAAGGCCTACTTAAGGTCATTGGAGGCCGGGATCGGGGCATTATTGAATTGGCGATACGAGCGAAGCTTTCGGAGTGATATAAAGTGAACTAAAGTGTTAAGTGTTAATAATTATTAGTGTGATTTAAGTTTTAATTGGTTTTCAGTAATTAAAATGTCAATTTTGGTACTTCAATCGGCAGTTTTTATTGTCAAAAACCCTAAGCTCGTAACAATTGATGTCAGAAAAGGAATAAAATTATGCCGATTTTAGCGAAGGATGACACGGAGGGTGTCCGTACCCGATGTCAATGCCAGCAGGAGACGGACCAGAGACGATTTGGTCGTGCAACGCCGCAGACGTCAGAGGGCCAGTCGCCGGTTGCAGAGGCCGACCCGTCAGCAGCTCCTACATCTGCAGCATCTGACTTTGGTGCTCTGATGATGATGCTGCAGCAACAGGCCTGCCGACAGGTAGAACAGGCCTGCCGGTTGGAAGAGAAGCTGCGGCGCGAATAGGAGGAACAGGTTCATCAATTGGAAGATCAGCAGGCGGAACAGGCTCGCCGACAGGAGGAACAGGCCCGCCGATAGAAAGAAACAAGTCTGCCGACGGGAGGAACAGGCCCCTCGGTTGGAAGAACAGCAGGCGGAAGAGGCCGGCCGATTGAAAGAGCAGCTGCGGGGCGGACAAGAGGAACAGGTCCGTCGGTTGGAAGAACAGATGCTCCTCATGAAGGACCTTCACGCTACCTTTGGGAAAGAGATGAGGGAGGTGAAGGTTAAGGTTGCTCAACATGACAACCACCTGTCGGAAGTTGAAAGCCGAATCGAGGAAGCTGAAACCCTAATCAACCAAGTGAACAATCGGGTTGACAACGTGATGGCTGACTTTAAAAAAACGCTGGATGACCTCTAACTTTGGGATGGAATTACAGCTTCCGTAGTAGCTACAACACCTTCGCTACGTGGATCAAAGTGTCGCCGTTCGACGGGACTTCTTCCTGGTCGGCTTACAAAATCCAGTTCGACGCTGTTATGAAGGCGAACGGCTGGAATAAAAGTCAGACCATGACCACTCTCACACTAGGCCTGCGCGACCAGGCCTTAACTGTTCTGGAGGCTCTCGGTGAGGAAGTGACTTATAAGCAGATCCTTGAGGCATTGAAGGCAGGATATGGCAACGCTCACCTGGAACACGACTTTCAATGAAATCTGCAACAGTGGAATCTTAAGGTGGAGAAGCTGGTGCGAAAAGCATACCGGTCTGTACCTGCGCTCATTTAAGGGAACCTGGTGCAGACATTCATCGACGGCATCCTAAAGTCAGAGATGCTGTGAGGCTCGGGCATCACGAGACGCTTAAGGATGCCTTGGCCCATGCACAAGAGGTAGAAGCAGTGCGGCAGGATCATCGTTTCCATCGCGTCAGGGACGTTGCAGCAGCTACAGTTGGTGACCATAATAAAGGATATAGCCGTAGGTGCTATGGCTGTGGGGAAAAGGGCCATCTTCGTTCCAGTTGCCCGAAGCGAACCGTAGAAAGGGAAGATGAACGGAGTGTGGTGGGCCAACTACACCGCCAAGCAACAGCAGGGAAACGAGTAAAAGCCAGAACTCCGTGGCGGGTTTTGGCTGATATTAAAAGAGCCCCAAGGATTTAGATCTCACAAACCCACGATGGGAACAGCCTGATCATCAAGAGCGAGATCAATGGAATGCCATGTAAGCCGACCATAGACACTGGAGCCTCTCGCACGATTGTCAGTTCCCAACTTATAAGTCGGTTCCTTAGGAACTCCGCATACAACCGAGAACGCATTAATTTGGTAACAGCCACCGGTCAGTGTATACCCGTCCCCGCGGACGATGAGAAGGAGATGGAGTTGAAGCTAGGCAACATGACCTACCTGCATAATGTTATCGTGGCTGATATAATAGACGACTGCATCCTTGGCCCAAACTTCATGAGGAAGAATTGTTGTGAGATTGACGTTAAGCGAGGTGTTTTGAAATGTGGACAAGAGGAGCTTTTCGTGCAAGGGGCGTTACCAGGGAACGTATACAGCCTTAAGAAAATTGTTCTACCGCCGAGATCGGAAACGATTGTGCCGGTTAGTCTTCCTCGGAGTCCTGGGCAAGCTTATCGTTGTGTACTCGTGGAAAGGTTAGACAGTGACATTTCATGGAAAGTGGCTCGAACCTTGGTCAGAACCACTAACATCTCAGGAGTACGTGTGCTGAACCTTTGTGACCAGGAACAGATTATAGAAAACGGCACACTGGTTGGTACTTGTGAGGATGTGGATTGGTTGCGTCGGTGCCAATATCTATCGACTGGGACTTCCAGCAAGGATGCACAAACGAGAGTGACCACACTTTTAGAAGACTGTCGCAGCGTTCTCTCCCCGAATGAAATGGTCAAGGCGATGAAGTTGTTACTCAAATATGCCGATGTATTCTCATCAAACGATGCTGACATAGGAAAGACTAGCTTAGTTCAACACAAAATAAATACAGGAGAAGAATTGCTTATTCGTCAGCGCCCAAGAAAATCGCCGGTAGCACTTTGCCGGAGGTTGCCGGAGTGAAACGGAACTGGAAACCACGATTGACGGAATGGTGAAGGATAGTGTTATTGAACCTTCATCTGGTCCATGGTATTCACCCGTGATGCGGTAAAAAATAAGGATGGCAGCATGCGGTTCTGTGTTGACTACCGCCGTCTGAACGACGTTACAAAGATGGACAGCTATCCCTTGCCAAGAATTGATGACACGCTAGATACGCTTACCAGAGTAAGGTGGTTTAGCACATTGGATCTAAAAAGTGGCTACTGGCAAGTTGAAATTGACCCTAAGGATAAGGTAAAAACTGCGTTCTCGACGGGAAAGGGTCTGTGGCAATTTAAAGTAATGCCTTTTTGTTTGTGCAATGCTCCGGCAACGTTTGAATGGCTGATGGAACTTGTACTTACGGGGATAATTGGCGATGCCTGTTTGGTCTACTTGGATGACATCAACAACGTAGGCCGTACGTTTGCGGAACACCTTCAAAACCTGGAACGCGTGTTCATGAAAATTCATAGTGCCAACCTCAAGTTGAGTCCGAAGAAATGTTCACTATTCAAACGGCTAGTTAACTTTTAAATAAATAAATAAATAAAAAGTATTTATTTGCCACACAAAAATACAGTGTTATTATTTAAATAGAGAGCTTAATAACTATAATATAAATATAATAATAACTTTTTAGTTGTGACATAACGGTCTGCGACTCAGTTGTAACGGGAAACCCATTACTCCTGCTATTCTGCCACAGCCTTTGCGCATAATTCATACAGGGTCTTAGGCAATTGATGAAACACACGTATCAACAATAATAAAGTAAAAATAAAAATAAAACAATTAATAAATTATACTTTCTAAATACAAAAAAAGTTGTCTAATTTGAGGGGGGTATCAAAGCTACATAGAGCCAGGGACTGTTTTTAAATAAGCCACTTGCGGCATCTTTGTCGGAAGGTAGACGAAAATAGGGTAGATCGGACTGGTGGTGGCAAATCGTTCAAAATTTTAGCAGCGGCAAATTTATAACACCCCCTGGCTCCAGCGAGGCTAATCCTGGGTAGTGGAAGCCGATGACTATTTTCTCTGACTGAAAGCAAACTTTTTTTTTCAACGGCTATCTTATCATATAGATATCTTGGAGACTTTGCGTGATGAAGAGTGTACAGAAAGCATGCATATTTTAATTTAGTACTATTGCACATATTTAAAATGCCATTACTGACTAAATAAGGTAAAATCTATCCCTTTTCGGTATATTAAAACAAAAACGCATACATGCATTCTGCACTCTCTGCACATTCTTCACAGTTTTTTTTTAAATAAGCATGGACCATAAACAATATCAAAATAATGAAGGTGGCATGGTACTAAACTGTTACAAAGCAGCAGTCTTATGTCACGTTTTAGAAATGAACGAATTTTATACAAAGTTTTTAATGAACCATAGCATTTACCGATTTTAGTCTGAAAATGTTGCTCAAATTTTAAATTCTCATCCATGAGGAGACCTAAATTGCGAACACAACCCTCGTAAGATATGACGGTGTCAAAGATCTTAACAAGAGACTTCCGTTCATTAATCGTTTTTACCTGGTGCTTTGTTCCAAGGGTAATGGTGACACTCT